AGAGTGATTCCGCGCCAGTTCTTGCAAACACTGAGGTCTCCTTTCTTCGGCAGTTTGACAAGGTAACCCTTCTTCCAATCGCCAGGTACCTTCTCTTCCTTCCACACCTTCTGCAATAGTGGTGTGAGCATGGCCGCTGTTGTCTCTGCATCTGTTTTCAGTGCTTCTGGCGGTATTCCATCTGGTCCTGCTGCTTTCCGGCATTTCAGTAGCTTTATGGCGTTCAGGACTTCCATTTTCGTTGGGGGATTTATGTTCACTTGTAATTCAGCGGCTGCAGGTGGTATTTCTGGACGAAGTGCAGGTGGTGGTCGATTCAAGAGCTTCTTGAAGTGGTCGGCCCATCGTTTCCTCTGTTTCTCTTCTTTTGTAATTAAATTTCCTTCATCTTTTATTGGTTTCATCTGTGTTGATCTCTTCCCTGATAGCAACCTTGTTATTTGATACAATGTTGTCAGGTCTCTCTTACCTGCAGCCTGTTCTGCTTCACTTGCCAGTGTGTCGTAGAAGTGTCTTTTGTCTTTGCGTGCACTCTTCTTTACTTCTTTGTTCAGTGTTTTATACATTGTATTCAGTTCCTCTTGTCGTTGAGCATCCTTGCACTGGTTTATCTTCTGCTTCACCATCCTCCTCTCCTCTATCAGCTTCCATGTATCCGTCGAGATCCATTCCTTGTCTTCTTTCTTCTTCCTTCCTAATACTGTTGTGCAGGTTTCTTTCCACATCTCTTTCAAAGACTTCCAGTTTTCTTCCACACAGGTTTCTTCAGGGATGTTCCTCGATATCTCCCATTTTGTCTTGATGGCTGCTGACGTGAGGATGTGCTTTGTAGTTTCATCCTTCAGTTTCCGAGTGTTGTACTTGAACTGAGGTCTATCACCAGCTTCCTTGAAGGCTTTTAACTTGATTTTGAAGGTTCCTTGCACTAGATAGTGGTCTGAACCTACATCTGCTCCTCTTCTTGACCTTGTGTTAAGTAGACTGCGTCTCCATTTTCTTGAGATTGAGATAAAGTCGATTTGATTTTTAGTGTGTCCATCTGGTGAAATCCATGTCGCTTTGTGGATATCTTTGTGCCTGAACACACTGCCTCCAATCACCAAATCGTTGAATGCACAGAATTCTGCAAACAATTCTCCATTCTCATTCATTTCACCTAGCGCCTCTCGACCCATGGTTAGTTCTCTTCCGTCTGTTGTCCGCTCCCAGTTTGGCATTGATGTCGCCCATCAGAATTTTGATATCGCCAACTGAGGTCTTGTCCAGTGTTGATTGAAGTTGTCTGTAGAATTCCTCCTTTTTCTCATGCTCTGCATTATTTGTAGGTGCATAACATTGTATGATTGTGACCTTCCTTCCTTTTGAGTTGAATCTTGCTGTCATGATCCCGATGCTGGAGGAGATTGGTTCCCACTGCATGAGAGCCTTCGATGCTCTTGAGGACATCATGATAGCCACTCCCTCAGTGTGCTCGTGGTTGGCGTCTGGGTGACAATATCGGAGTAGATTATTGATTCTCCAGTTGACAGTTTGGAGAGTCCACTCCCATTCCATCTACTTTCGCAAATCCCAAGCACTTCGATGTTATACCTTCTCATCTCGTTTGCAATCTGGGCTGCCTTACTGGGTTCAAACATTGTACGGACATTCCATGTCCCCACGTTTACTTTCGCTTTCATCGAGAGAAGACACATCGGCCTGGCCAATTGGCTTCCCGAAGGCTTTCACCAACTGGCGGCATTTCACCTCTCCGATTCCAGCGGGGAATAAGTTTGTTTTCATTTTTTATATTTTGTTTGTGCTTTGAAGTTTCTTTAGCGGTTAGATTTGTTTTACGGGGTAGGGTTGCTAGCCCTATGCCCAACCTTCCCTCTTTATGTGGGCTTAGGACCGGCTAGTAACTAGTAAACTAGTTAACCAGGCGAGGTTTTGAAACAATATAATATTGAAAAATTATGATAACAAGTGAGCTTTATAAGGATTTCTGGCAGTGGAAAGATGGTTTACCCAGTACAAAATGATATAAGTGGGAAAACGATTAAGTAGTAAGTGGCAGTATGAACTAGTATTTTGTTCTATGAGCCTATATATACTTAAAAGTTCAGAGAGCAGTGAGTATATCGTGGCTTCCGCTCAGGCTTAATCAACATTTTTAATATGCCTTTTGGTGCCTTAGGCGATATTTTTTATCAATCTGTTGTATATATGTGTTTTTATAAACTCCCAATACTTTGATATAGGAAAATTCGAACGTCAACGTTTAGGCTGCGAAATCTACGGAAGGTATGCCAACCGGTTCAATGGCTGCTACTGTCACAAAAGTGTGATCGGGAAAACTATTAAGCAATTACTGGTTTTAAATAGTATTTGACAGCTGTTGATGTTTGTTCAAGAGAGACAATGTCATGAGATACAAATACAGGCTGAAATTTATACCTTCTGGTAATTTTACTTGAGAATGCTTACATTTTGAGAACAGAGACAAGTGTCTTTACTGGATATCTATGTGAGAAATATTACTTACGTTCTTTATTAAAAATCGACTTATTGGAAATAACTTTACCCTCTTAGATCTTCAAGTTATTCAGTCATTACTCAAGTGAACAATTATTCCATGCTCATTAGCGAAAGAACAAGAGATAGGTTTTCTGAAGTTTTAACTAGTAACCATAAGTTTTGAAGTCAGCCAATTCAAAAGTATACATGGATGTCACCGTTACCTTTCTGGACTTAAAAGATGCATACTGCTGGATTCCAAATGTGTACCTAAAGAGTACTATACTTGTGGAAGGTCATGTATATCATGCTAAAGTGTTCCAACATAAAACAAAACAGTCGTTCAGCAATCCTCAGTTTGCAATAATGCTTTGGCTGATGACGTAATCTGTCTTTCGAAGGATGTAGAATGTCCTTTTGGATGCAATGAATATCAACGTTTTACGGAATAAATGACGTTTACCGTATTTTAGTAATATCAAAGTAATAGATTTGAGTTATAAATTCAAGAGAAATATCATCATCTTAACACATCCCAAAATGAATTCAAATAATGATTTGTTCATTTAAACACCAAGTATTCAGTGCGACCGATTGTAAGTGTTATTTCGGTCGGAATAAAATTTTAAACACAGGTGTTTTCAGATTATTGTAAAAAATTTTCAATAAGTGAATGCAAATATATTCACTGAAGAATACTAGGATGAAGAGATATGGAAGCAAATTATAGATTTTTGCTGTAGCATAATGACAAACGCCAATTGGTCCTAAAATCCCTCTTCAGGACAATTTACTACACCTAGAAAACTGCTCATAAAATGTTTCATTTTTTAGAAATTATTATGAACATCTAGAAAAAAAGAAGTTCAAGTTCACACTTGTAAAGGCTTGGAGTATTTTCCAGATTAGTTTTACCACATGGTTGGATTAGGTGCAAAAATAAAGAAAAGAAAACATCTGAAGCAGGTTATGAGAAAAAACAACCAAGACTTGCCAAAGCCCACAAAAGACACTTTAATGTTTAGACAGTATGTCATAATCTAATGATCGACATACTTTTAATAAATCGTGATGCAGTCAGTGTAAGTATCTTCCAGTGCCATCATTTTCGGTTGATCATGCACGTTAAATTTTTGCAATTCCAATCTTTTGGAATAGACATTTATATACGAGGCGAGTTTTTTTGAGGCTGGGAGTTTACAAAAATTGGTTGTTTGACAATGTTCTTTATTCTGTCATCAAATTATCCTGGGATTTGTCGTAGTACTGTAGGTCAGTGAGATGAGAATCGTCTTATAACTTTAATCTTGATACATTTTATTTTAAGCCGAAAAAAATCATCCATGTCTCTGCTTCTTAGTGCACGTGCTAGTTCACTTGCTCTGATGGATACAAACATATTGACTGTAACCATTACACCCACTTTCAATAAATAATTTAGAGTGGTTTTTAGATGGAAAAAAGTCGTTGGAACTTTCCTCCTCAAACATTCCATTAAATTCATACATTCAGAAAATCTCCAAAACTTAATTGCTATTGAATATCGGATATATGTAGTTTTTCCAAATGTCTCCATTTTTCGCTTCGTAAAATTGCAGAATTCCTAATTATGGGAACATAGACTTTTTGTCTAAACGAATTATATCCAGTCTCTGCCTTTGCGCTAGTGACGAATCTTGCCATTACTTTTCCTTCTTTCCAACTAACTATTCACATTCCCTTTAGTTCTGGAATTTTAATAGTTAAGAATAATGTTGTATTCTCTTCTTTTTACACAAGATGATTTGAGTTTTAAGGACCAGATTCATTTCAGTAAAATTGTCCATATCGTAAAAAAAAATAATCTTCACTCATTAGGTTTCAAGTTCGCCTATAAACAGCGTGGAGACTCGTGGAAGTCATTACTGGATTTAAACAATTTTTCTTACTTATAGTACTGCTAGTACTGGCGTCTAAATCATTATTACTTTCATCATTTTTAAAAAAAAATAGTTGCTTAAGCTAGTGTTTGTATATCATATTCATGTACAAATACACAGTTTACAATTAAATTTCGTACCGATCTTAAATAATACCATAACACATGATTACTCATAAACATTGTAGCTTTAAACATCACGCTACAATGGACTGAACTTAAAATCACATTAGTGGATATTCAAGGGGATCGGGTGTATGTTACACATTTGTTGGGATGTATTGATAACATATGTATTGTGTTATCTAAAAAAATTTATAATAAATATATTCTATTACTGAAGGTCAGTGTACCAAAAATCAAAGCCATACGCTTTCAGAAACCGTAGACTGATAATGTATCCTTTGTTAACTATTTCTGGACAGAAACTACGTTAACAAATACAAGTAACACAGAAATCTCTTCTGTGTATATAAAAATAGTTCCACTTATCGAAAACAATAAGTAACACAATTTATGAAATATCTCAGTGATATTGACAAAAAAAGCAAATATCAACAACGAATATTTAATTGAAAATACTCACCTGTGATTTTATTGCTGATAAGATTAAATCTAAATTTGGATGAATACACTGTTTTGAACTAGCAGAAAAAGTTAAAGATAGTTGTCCAGCATACGTTGTAAATGTAACACTTAGATCACGACAAATATGTACAACAGCATGTTTAAATGTTCTATCTTGCAAAGTAGTTGACTGAGGATGTGTAACAAGTTCTGAAGGAATATGATTTGGAGATGGCATCCAAGTATCAATACGAATAATAGGACAACCAGCAACATATATTATCCCAGCATTAGCATTGACTAAATGACGGGCTAAAGCACGAAAACTTGTTCCTAAACGAGGTGGATAAACAGCTGCTCCACGTGGAAGACGTTTTCGTAACCTCTGGCGTAGTATACGAGCATCAGAAGACTTACTAGCCAATAAGGACATATAAGCTAATCTCCTAGCTTTAGGCATTTGATATGAACAACTGGAATCTGTATTTTTTGCAGAACTAGATGTAGTGAATGGAGAAACTACCTCAACTCCAGTTACAGTTACACTAGCTTTAGCTGGCCCACCATAAGTTGACTCAATCCACTTAGCTACGGAGTGTGGCATCAAAGTATATAATACTGTCCGAGCCCAAGCTAAACACAACGGATCAACAGAAGTATTCAATTCATTCAACCGTTGTTTAGTTTCCCACAATCTGGGCAACATACCCTCTGTATTTATTGGTAGACAAAATTCAGCCAATACATTTCTACCTGGACATAGACTTCTTATTGTTGTTGGTGGCGAACCTATTGCTACCATTCGATTTGTATTCCCCAATAAGCCAGTTTCAACTGTATTACTATCGTGTTGTAGCTGCTGTGTTTGCTTCTGCAGACGCCACGAAGAAATGTTATGAATGGCCAAGTTACTTGATCTCACTCTCTGTGTGGTACTTAGAACTCGTGTAAACGTTGAACACGGTGTGTCTGAACTATTATTACAATTGGTGATTGATATCGATGAGGTGCCAAAATCACACGACGGTAATACAGGAACTTCTGTTGCCAAAAATGCTAGCAAATCTGGCGGATGCTTGAATCCCATAGTCTTTGTAAGTGGAAAGAGAGAAACAGAGAAAAGCAAACAAAATGAAACTATTGATTACTTAAACAGTTCATTTGATTAGGTCGCGATGTACTGTTTTGTCAATCAACTTATCAGTGTATAAATGAACATTGATATCAGTAAACAAAACTTATTTACCAGATATAAAATTAGTTGCAAACCATCACATGTACTAATAGCCTGCAATACTCCTTTTAAGGTTAAAGTAATTTGTAAACCAAATAAGGAAATTTAGTTGATAGGGTCAAACAATTGAAGCCGACTGTGTTTAGATGATTGTTTTTGAGACAAATACTTTGAACAAGAAAATAAGGGGCAATTACAAGTTGGATAAGTCCTGTAGACCTTTCATAAGGTTTGCCGACATCCAATCAAATCCAACAGTTATCAATTCAAAAACATGCCGCTAACACAGTATCAAATATATGTCTGAAAGCTGAAACATCTTAAATATCAATATGTATATATATATATATATATATATATATATATATATATATATATGATATTACCTTCAGCTTTGTTTATCTAATCTCAGTGACTAATAACAACCAATAAATACTGTTCTTTTACAACCATTTGTACTATGCATTTTATAAATTCCATTTATGCAGTACCATTTGATTACTATCTGATTTTCTATGGGCAGAAAAAAGTGCATAAATCAATAACTGACGACGTTAGCGTTATTAAACTGTATGGTCAGCCATGACTAATTTAAGATTGAAGATATTTTAGATGTTGCTGAATTTCAATAAATTATTTGATCGAGATCAACTCGGCTTAAAATAGAGAAAACACATAGTAAGGACGACAAAACATTGCGTTGCTGCCGGGCTTCCCATCGATTAATTCTTATGAGGGTGACGATCCATTTTGAGATTTTTTAATTCCTAGTATCCATTATAAGCTGCAAATACAGACAATAATCAGGAGAATATCTACGTCCTTGTGCTGTTTTTAAGCGACGTAGATATGTGACGTATATTCGGCAGGTATCTCTGATTTCATTTCAGGGGTACTGATTGTCGTTATAAAAGAGATTGTAGATCCATTCACCGATAGGGAAGAGAATGAATATAGATTGTAAGCTGCAGTTTAAAGTTAGTTACAGCCAAAAGCTCTTCAAAACGATGTGTGTAAACTAATCATTCATACGAGGATTTACTGCAACTAACTGCAAGCAAGATAAGAAGTAAATGTAGCTGAAATACAGGTTCACCATTAGCTATCAGGATAAATGCGAGTAATAGTATTTATGGACAGCAAAAAAGTTTTATTGATCAAAGAAGAAAGGAGCAGAGGAAGATAGTAATAAATAAAAACTCAAATCAAATGGTTGGAATTAGTTACAAAGCATTGTGAAGAATAGTTCAGCTGCTTACGGTAGTATATTATTTGCTCACCGGATGACCACATTCAAAATAAGATGTTGACGTACTAAATTGGAAAATCACTTTACAAGTGCTTTTGGGTTAGGTGGAGGTATTATTAGGTTTTTTTTCATTACTAATTGTCAGTTTGACCAGTGTTCTAACCACTTCAGCAAAAAAAATGCATACATCGAAACTAATCCAGATGGTTGAATGTTTACTTTGCAGGTATAACCTAATTTTGTGTTACCTGTATAAGTACCCGTTTTAATTGAGAAGCTTGTGTACTTTCAAAGAATGTAACAGCTTGGTGAATTGATTGTAACTGATGACACAGCCATGTATTTTTTCAGCAGATAACGTTTCCGACCTTCAAATTATAAGGTATTGATGATGTAGCCAAGAGTTTTAACACTAATACACATTTATTCGCTGATTTTATTGCGACTGTTGAATATACCCTTTATGCAGATTTCCCCCGACTTCTGTCAATTTAAGAAGTTCAATGTCAATTAAGTAAAGGTGGTTAACAAAAAGCCAATGAAGGGTGGGATGCCATGTAGAGATTAGGGGCCATCGTTGGCCGGACAGAATTTATCGTCCACTATCAGCATATGCCCTCTTGCGTAAATGTCTTGATATCGCAAGCAATTTCAGTTTGATAGTAATGATGGGTAGCAGCCAACAGTGGTTTACAATCGATGACGGGAAATTGCAAGCAATAACACCAAAACTATACTTGTAGCCTAGTGGCTAGTTATCGTGACTCAGCGATCTAGTGAATAACGCTATGAGGTTTAAAGTAGTGGATGTTGAGTGCGATTCTTAGTGGAAACAACATCACGCATTGTGATGTAGAAACGTTCTGCTGAAAAATTCCAAATGCGATGACGTGTATCCTTGATTTCAATGCTAAGTAGCTTCCATCCTTCATCAATATAAAGTTAGCGCAGATTTCTTTGAGTGGAGATTGACCTCTTGCAGGACTGGACTTGATACACCGATTGATCCACTTCATAATCCGGTCAGCAGTCGGGACTAGAAAAAGTAATATTACTTTCCGGTTTACTTGATGTTCCTTAAATACTTTATTTACTTTGTTGTTATTTGACGATTGTTGTTTTTAATTGAAACAAATAGGCGTCCGTAAAAACTATAAATGAAGGCTGTCATATATTCTTTTCTGGGAAAATGCACGCTGAAGTTGAATTTCCTAGATATTTATCTGGACAATTCGAGGAATAAATAAAGTTTTCTGGCAGTATTGCATAGTGTACATCGTTAATACTGTTATTGGTTTCTCTGAAGGTCAACTTAGATTTGAGTAATTTGATCACAGATTCGGACTACATTTTACCTACTCCAGTCTTTTAGCATTATTCATCTTTGTTAAATATATGGAAATTGTAGCTTAACACAGAAAAGCTCAAGTCTTCTAATCAACCAAAATCATTGAAATCATTTTACATAAGCAAGGAGTGAAAAGTGAAAAGACTAAAACTTGCTGATGAAGTTGATTTATTGGATATCCTTTAAGAAATATCCTACCATAATCCTCACACAAATGATTCAATACATCGGAATATTTTATTTTGTAACAAAATGAGAGTTCCTTCCACTTAAAATGAAATCATCTCAGTCAATATAACATCTGTGTCAGTAAACATTTTGTCGTCAAATTTGTGCATGTGGGTTTCTTGGCATCCATTTGAGAAGCAGTATTGATGTCAAAAATGGTTACTGAGTGGAGCATTCAGTTCAGTTCCCTTGAAAAAAGTTTTAAACAAGATTGTCATATCAGTGTTTCTGATACGTGGTGTAGCTGAAAGTATCTTTCTTTTTAGCACATAGTATTTAAAATGGTCGTCGAAGATGAATTTTTTATTGACTGTGTATTTTCGCTGTAATATGCAGAACAAAATTCTTGTTATAGAGAACCCGTATTCTGCTAATCTATTCAAAATGAGCTGTCCCGAAAAAGAAAACTATGCATGAATTTGTTTTATAAGATGATTATTTGCAAGGAAAGATCCAAAAAATAGAAACAGTTAAATTTACGGTTTTCATTTACCTGGTGATAAGCACGTAGCGCACCGGCTAGTAGACTCAAAATTAATTCTGAATAAGATGCCTTTGTTATTTGGCGCAGGCGACTCAATTTAGCTAATGACAATAAGGCACACTTGTGAATAATCTTTTCATCCTGGCCATTATCACCATTGTTATTGTTAGTAGATGATTGAACAGCAGAACTGGATTTCGCACTTGATTTGAAACTCTGCGTATTGTTATGTTGGTGTATAAACCCATATCAGCACTAGTTAAGAAATATTTATGGAATATAATAGCTGGTCCTGTAACCACTACTCTGAGTAAATCACACACAGTAGCTATTGTAGCTAACGAACTCGCCCAGAAAGTATACCACCATTGAGCTGCTTCTGATTCTTCAGGGTCTTCATCGTCTAGCGGTGAAGTGACATTGAAATGAGAAGAGTTTGTCGATACACCAGAAACTGCTTCGTTCTGATCCGGTTTCGGTTTTTGATTTCGGTATGAATTAGAGGAAGTAAGCTGATCTCTATTTGCTGAGGAACTGGTAACATTTGATTGAAACTTTCTTTCACTAGTTAGTACAGTTTTAGCAGATTCACAGGAATAGTGAAACGGGTTTGAATTGCCAGATGAAACAGAACTCTTGGCCGAAACATTTAGCTTGGGGGATGCTGAATCATCTTTGGATAGTGAAGATGAGGCTGTTTATCAGAAAAAGAAAAAAATGACTAGTTCATGAATTGATTATTGCTGAAAAAATAAAGTAAGAGAACCTGTTTAGCTCACTAGTAAACAGATTTAAAATAGTATATAAATTTGACTGGCTATTCCGAATGCTCAACTTAAAATAGATACCTGAAGTAACTAACTTAATATTGATGAATTTAATTGATAAAAATCCTGCCACACTCCTCACTTTCACTCAACTGTCTCCACTAACGTTTTATAAAGAATTGGTATTTATCTTGTTGGCTGTTTATACTAATCAACTAGGAATAGTATAATTTTTTTCATCCTATCTGTACAGTATTGAACTCGTTGATGAAACTAAATAAAACTTGGAAGACATTGGTAATCTCAAAGAAAATATGATTGATGATGACTTTGTATTCTCCAAGCTTTGAGGTTTGTACCTTAGATGTTCCATCACCAGGCTAGACAACTCCATTTGCATTTACTATATATATATATATATATATATATATATATATATATATATATATAAACTGTTAGGATATTAAAAGAGCGGAGAGGGTTAGCTTTGTTAATTCTACTGACGCACAATAACTTACGCCAACAAAATCATTAAAGCTGAAAGGTAGAATGGTAACAAGAAAAAAGTAATTAATATAAAAATCAGACTTCGACAATGTGGTAGCTTGAAATTCCACCATAATTTGTTTGTGAAATGTATCGTACAGTGAAATAATACTGTGATACTGTAAATAGTACTGTTTTACCGAGTGCTACAAATTATAATGTAAAAAGGTAATTTAATCAAGGGTTGGTATATGATAAATCAGCCGAAAATTGACTTGATTGTGAAATCGAGTGCAGTTTTATTCATCATTTCAAAATTAATACAACCAATTAGCTGAAGTAGCATTAGGATATGGGAACAAAAAAGCCTAATTTGAGATTTGCATTTTCCAACGAACATCTTGGTGTTTCCGAATGTTTTCGACGCTACGGAATATGAATGAGCATCTTTTAACACCTAATATCCTCGGAAATGTATGACTAATATACAAGATAACGCTACTGAGCGGAGAATACTTGAAGTATCACACAGTAATCATTAGTTATTGGGCATCTAATATTTCTAAGCATTTGAATAGATGTGGCTAGTCACAGCAGTTGAAAAGATACATTGTACTTATAGAAATATATGATAAGATTGTACATTGCAGACATGTCTATAAATGCAAGGACAGTTGAAATTATTTCATCCATGAATTACAGTAAACTTTGGCGCCTACTGATAAGTTACGCTGTTGCCAAATGATGCGTCCTTAGCCTGCTTGAAAACGCTCTGGCGTTTGAAGCGATGAATACTGTGTTCAAGTCCCAGTGGAAATACCATTATCCATTAGGATTCGGATTCAGATGACGAATCCCGAACAAGACGAAAAGCGCATCCTAGATCTCACTGCAGGCTACCACTAAGTAAATAACGTCGAAATCCCACAATACATATAAATGCTTTAGGTTATAAATATCTATTTGACCGTTGTGACCAATTTCAGATAGTTCTAACTCAATATTATATACCGAAGACCAATGAGCGATGAAGTTTCTTGAAGCCATAGTACAAAATTTCAGTTATCCTGAATATTGATGTTATGGGCTGGATTTAAAAAGGATTATAAAAAAGGAATAAGGAGTCTTCGTAAGTTGCTTTACAGGTAATAAAGTGTAAAAGGAAGGCTCTTATTCATTAGAAAAGAAAGAACATAAAATGAGTGAAATGACTAATCAGCCCAGGAGGATTATCTTTGCTTATTGTTATCGTTATAGTTTAAAATAATATATTGTGTCAGTTGAAGTCATCTTTTAGAGTTATACAAATAGCTTACAATCTTACCAACCTAATAGATTTGAAAGTGATAACCGAAAATTTGAAAAATGTGACTATTGCCCTCAGCAAGAACGCAAGTGTCATTGCAGCATTTATTTATTCTTACTAAGCATCTAACAAAACCTCGCCTGGTTAACTAGTTTACTAGTTACTAGCCGGTCCTAAGCCCACATAAAGAGGGAAGGTTGGGCATAGGGCTAGCAACCCTACCCCGTAAAACAAATCTAACCGCTAAAGAAACTTCAAAGCACAAACAAAATATAAAAAATGAAAACAAACTTATTCCCCGCTGGAATCGGAGAGGTGAAATGCCGCCAGTTGGTGAAAGCCTTCGGGAAGCCAATTGGCCAGGCCGATGTGTCTTCTCTCGATGAAAGCGAAAGTAAACGTGGGGACATGGAATGTCCGTACAATGTTTGAACCCAGTAAGGCAGCCCAGATTGCAAACGAGATGAGAAGGTATAACATCGAAGTGCTTGGGATTTGCGAAAGTAGATGGAATGGGAGTGGACTCTCCAAACTGTCAACTGGAGAATCAATAATCTACTCCGATATTGTCACCCAGACGCCAACCACGAGCACACTGAGGGAGTGGCTATCATGATGTCCTCAAGAGCATCGAAGGCTCTCATGCAGTGGGAACCAATCTCCTCCAGCAGGATCATGACAGCAAGATTCAACTCAAAAGGAAGGAAGGTCACAATCATACAATGTTATGCACCTACAAATAATGCAGAGCATGAGAAAAAGGAGGAATTCTACAGACAACTTCAATCAACACTGGACAAGACCTCAGTTGGCGATATCAAAATTCTGATGGGCGACATCAATGCCAAACTGGGAGGGGACAACAAACACGGAAGAGAACTAACCATGGGTCGAGAGGCGCTAGGTGAAATGAATGAGAATGGAGAATTGTTTGCAGAATTCTGTGCATTCAACGATTTGGTGATTGGAGGCAGTGTGTTCAGGCACAAAGATATCCACAAAGCGACATGGATTTCACCAGATGGACACACTAAAAATCAAATCGACTTTATCTCAATCTCAAGAAAATGGAGACGCAGTCTACTTAACACAAGGTCAAGAAGAGGAGCAGATGTAGGTTCAGACCACTATCTAGTGCAAGGAACCTTCGAAATCAAGTTAAAAGCCTTCAAGGAAGCTGGTGATAGACCTCAATTCAAGTACAACACTCGGAAACTGAAGGATGAAACTACAAAGGAAATCTTCAAGGCAGCCATCAAGACAAAATGGGAGACATCGAGCAACATCCCTGAAGAAACCTGTGTGGAAGAACACTGGAAGTCTTTGAAAGCTGTGTGGAAAGAAACCTGCACAACAGTATTAGGAAGGAAGAAGAAAGAAGACAAGGAATGGATCTCGACGGATACCTGGAAGCTGATAGAGGAGAGGAGGATGGTGAAGCAGAAGATAAACCAGTGCAAGGACGCTCAACTACAAGAGGAACTGAATACAATGTATAAAACACTGAACAAAGAAGTGAAGAAGAGTGCACGTAAAGACAAAAGACACTTCTACGACACACCGGCAAGTGAAGCAGAACAGGCTGCAGGTAAGAGAGACCTGACAACATTGTATCAAATAACCAGGTTGCTATCAGGGAAGAGACCAACACAGATGAAACCAATAAAAGATGAAGAAGGAAATTTAATTACGAAAGAAGAGAAACAGAGGAAACGATGGGCCGACCACTTCAAGAAGCTCTTGGATCGACCACCACCTGCACTTCGTCCAGAAATACCACCTGCAGCCGCTGAATTACAAGTGAACATAAATCCCCCAACGAAAATGGAAGTTTTGAACGCCATAAAGCTACTGAAATGTGGGAAAGCAGCAGGACCAGATGGAATACCGCCAGAAGCACTGAGAACAGATGCAGAGACAACAGCGGCCATGCTCACACCACTATTGCAGAAGGTGTGGAAGGAAGAGAAGGTACCTGGCGATTGGAAGAAGGGTTACCTTGTCAAACTGCCGAAGAAGGGAGACCTCAGTGCTTGCAAGAACTGGCGCAGAATCACTCTCCTGTCCACCCCAAGTAAAATATTAAGCCGCATCATCCTGGAGAGGCTTAAAGACGCACTGGATTCAAAACTACGACCGGAACAGGCAGGCTTCAGGAAGTACAAATCATGTGCAGACCAAATTGCAACGCTTCGTATCATCATAGAACAGAGCATAGAATGGCAATCAGCTCTCTACCTCAACTTCATCGACTTTGAGAAGGCCTTTGACAGCGTCGACCGACAAGTAATTTGGAAACTGCTTCACTACTACGGAGTACCACAAACCTTTATCCACATCATTCAACAACTATATGAAGATGCCACATGCCAAGTAATCCACAATGGGAAGCTCAGTGATGCCTTTGAAGTGAAGACAGGAGTGAAACAAGGTTGCCTACTATCCCCCATGATATTCTTGATTGTGGTGGACTGGATCATGCAGCAAACAGTAGGCAGCGAGAAGAGGGGTATACACTGGACGACGGAAAAGAACCTAGAAGACTTGGATTTCGCTGATGACTTGTGCCTGATGTCACATAAACTTGAAGATCTGCAGGCAAAAACGAACAAGTTGATAGAAGAGGCAGGGCAGCGAAGAAGGGACTTCAGGTGAATATAGAGAAGGCGGAGGTGATGATGATACCCAACCAACAACAAACTCCAATCACCATCAACGGGATAAACTTAAAGGAAGTAGTATTCTTCACCTATCCAGGCAGCATCGTTTCAACCACAGGTGGCGGCACAGACGAGGACGTCAAAGCCAGTCAGGATCGGTAAAGCAAGACAGGCGTTCATTAGCCTGAAACCAGTGTGGAGATCTTTTGCACTCCACTCAGTATGTGGAACAACATCCGGATTTTCAACACCAACGTCAAGTCAGTGCTCTTGTATGGTTCAGAGACTTGGCGCGTCACGAAAGGTATTTCCAATAAACTACAGACATTCATCAACAACTGCTTACTCTCGCTGCTGAAGATCAGATGGCCAGAAAAAATAAGCAACAGGGAACTCTGGGAACGAACCAACCAACAGGAAGAAGTGGAGATGGATTGGCCATGCACTGAGAAGGCCGACTGAGGACATCACGCGT